ACATCTAAACGGAAGCTCATCCAAGATTATCATCATAGCTAATGCATGTCTAGATTTGTTCTGATCAAACTTCCATAGAGTAAGAGAGCCTACCTCACCATCTCCACTTCCAGCTCCAGGTTGATAGTTCAATACAGACTGACCACTAGCTTCCTTTACCCTCCTCTCGCACATTAGGTGATGGCTCTACAAACCACTAGTCCCATTGAAGGTTGAATGAGCTTTGATCAGCGTCCCACACCTTTTGCATTTGTCGTATGGGTAGTCATCCAACACACGGGTGTAAGGAATCCACCACTTAGATTTTGACTTCTTCCCCTTCCCCTTGTCAATTTTCTTCTGTACACCAGGTACCTCAACAGATGGAGGAGGATTTGCTGCAGATGGAGGAGGATTTGCCGCAGGAGGTGGATTTGCTACAGTTGTAGGTGGATTTGCAGTAGTGGAAGGTGTGCTACTAGTCGAAGCCTTCCCTTTTTTTGAAGAGCTTCGAGGAGGTAGAGAACTAGCTTTCTTCTTACTACCTCCTCCACGGCTGCCAGCAGAAGGTTTCGTCCTACAAAAAAACATCAAAATGAACACAATAAACCTCCTAAACAATTCTCATCAATTCAATTCAATACAAACTTTAAACTACAATTCAATAAACTTATTAACAATAACTTATATAGATAGATTTTTGCTAATAGCTAATTGGCTGTTATTGCTAAATGTCGAGTACTGTTGTTGGCTACTTGGCTTGTTATATGCTGCCTCCCTCGACCATTTGCTCTCCAAAATGCACAAACCAATTCAAAATGCTTTTCCTCCTCCTCATGATTATCAAATTGAAAAATGACAACAAACACACAACAACAAGCTCACACCAGGAAACTGCAAATCTTTGCAAGCTCACACCAAAAAATGGTTGCATTCGAAGTTGGCAGGGAACAAGCAACCTACTCATTTTCCAATATGTAATAACTCGATCAATATCAACCTTTCATATCAACAAAGAGAACAAGGAGTGCAGAAAGCACAACACAAACCTACAACATACCGAGGTTTATACCTATTGAGTAATAAGTTAATCACCATTAATCTATTGAAGTCTATAAACCCTACCAAAAAAACATAGTTCATAACCAACTCTTCAAAGAAGTTCCATTCATTTGCCATTTTCCTCACAACCGAATGGAAACATACACTTAACAGTGACAATCTTCCCCCACCGCACCAGCCATTCTGCCCATTCATGATCCCAGAAACAAAATGAGTTCTTCAACCAAAACAAACAAAACAAAACGAGTTCCATTCATTTGCTCATACTAAGTTCTATTCTCAAACAACTTCCTACCTTCACGGGACACAATCCACGTAACCTATTCATCCAGCACTGAATAGATTCCGTTAGACAAAAATGACATTCTAGGAGAACTCACATCCAAATATTGCACATCATCTGGTGGATTTTCAGAATTCATAAAAAAAAATTAACACTAACACACAGCAGGAGCAGGGCAGGGGAACCAATTCTGCAATTCTTACCCGGCGTAGCAGGACGGCAGGAGCGGGGGAGGAATGGCAAGTGGGAACTGGGAACGGGAAGGGTTGGCGAGTGGCGACGGGAAGGGCTGCCGACGGGACTGGGTACGCGTCGCGCGTCGGCGAGGGAAGGTAGAGACCCGGCGAGGGAAGCGCGCGAGTCAGAGTTGCCCGTCGCCGTCGCTCCACGGTCGTCGCCGTCGAGAAGAGGAGAGCTGGAGAGGTCAGGCTGCGCGGCGGGTCTGGAAAAAACGAAGAGGAGAGGGCTCGGGTCGGTCGTGGTCGCTGGAAAAAATGAAGAGGAAAGTGTTTTTAGGGTTTGGACTTTGGCCCCCAACAAAACGCAGTGCATCGGTTTGGGAGTGGGGAGGGGGATTCGGTATCGGTAATACCGATTTACCGTCGGTATTTACCGATACAGTGTCCGGTAAACCGACTCCCCCAACTTCCCGCTCGGCTACCGTTTACCGGATTACCGAATCCCACCCCTAGTCTTATCTGATGTTATTGTATACATAGATAATTCGGAATTAAGGTTCTTGATGAGCAAGGTCGACTCCAAGCCTTGGCTATAAAGATTGATATTACAAGAGTTTGACCTTGAGATCAAAGACAGGAAAGGGAAGGAGAACCGAGCCGCGGACCACATGTATAGACTTGAAGGACCCACGGTGGACACCTTTGATAGAGAGATCAATTAATCCTTCCCATACGAGAGAATTTCATGATATGCTTGGCAGAGAGTATCACACCATGGTTCTTCGATGTTACCAACTACTTGATCGGAAAGCAGCTCCCCAGCGACATGATCAGACAAGAAAAGATAAAGAAGTTCTTCTCTGACCTCTGCTAGTACTTCTAGGACGACCCACTCTTATCCCATATAGGGGCAGATAGTGTGATAAGTTGTTGTGTTATGGGATTGGGGTCGGGGATGCATGACATCCTCACCCATTGTTACCAAGGCCTCACACAAGTGTGATTGATGCCAACTATCTCGTAAATTCTCTTCCCAGAATGAGAAGTCCAAAATATTTTTATTGCATGTGAGGTCTTTGATGTGTGAGGTATCATATTCATTATGCCCTTTCCCTCTTTTTTCAAGGTGGCGAAGCACATGCTTTTCTCACCAATGATTCTAGTTGGGTTTGTAAATTCCTTAAAAAGTTATTTTCTCGGTTTGGTAAACCTCGAGCAATCGCTAGTGATGGAGGCACCCATGTGCATTCATTTACTTTAGTTAATAATTGCATTGCTAGTTTAAGTAGTTGTAGTTGGTAGGAGTAACTAAAATAGTAATTCCAATTGGCTAGATAATGATCCAAATTTGTGCACTAGTAATTTTTACCAAAATAATTAAAATAAAATCAATAGTTTAAAATAATTTAGAATTTGAAGCCTCTATAACAAAATCTTATCATTGGTTCACTTGCTTGTGTTATGAGTGTTAATTTGTAACAATGAACATGTCATATGATCTGGGGTTTTCCACATCATTTACGAGAATAATTAAAATAAAATCAATAGTTTAAAAATGAAACCAAAAGCAAAATTACGGTTGGAAAAATGATTTTAATTAATCGGACAAATAATTTTTCAAGAAAGTAAATTTTCTAAATCATTTTCTTATTGTGTGGCACCTACACGGAGGGCAGAGGCCACTTCATTAAATAGTCAACTATGGTTTGACCCTCATTTGATCAACCGTTAACTCTAACGGTCAGTTAACTCTAACGGTCAATGCAAAATATAAGGACATAAATGACAACACAAACTTTTAGTTCGGGATTTGATTGTTAATTCGAATAACTGGCGCTAAAAATGATGCTTATTTGATAGTTAAGATATTGTAGCTGTATTAGCGATGAGTATAAACTAATAAAGTAACATGAGCTCAATGTAATTTTCTTTTGGCAAAATACACTTGTTTAGTCAAAACTTTGGCGGTTTGGCTAAATATAGCCACATTTGACGAAATACCAAAAATAGCCACTTCCGTCCAATTGTTTGACGGTGTTAGTTAACGTGCTGACTGGACTAACAACAACGGTTGACGTGGCATATTTTATTAAAAATAATGTTGGATGGAAAATAATCCACATTTCATCTTTTTATTTTAATCGAATTAAATGAAAAAAATGAAAAAAATAAAAAGTATCATTGACCACCCATACTTCTCTCTTTCTTCCTTTTATTCTAATTAAGTTTAGTAAAACATTTAAAAAATATCTCCCACCCCAACTTCATCTTCTTCCGCTGCCCCCCTCACCCTCAACCCTACCCCACCCCCAACCCACCGCCGCCTTCACTCCCCTCCGATGAGGCCTCTTCACGAGGGTCGTATCCTTCCAAACGCCGGCTTTTCCTTCCTCGACGCTCGGATAGTCCTTCTGTTCGCGTAATCGAGTTCCCTGATTCGTCGGAGCCGCCTCCAGTGGCTCCTCCTCTCATCTCCGCCGTCGCCGCCTTGTAGAAGCCTGACAAGCCTACTCTGTTTCCGCCGCTCGAGCTGCCCCTCTTGCGATTCCCGATGTTAATCGAACATCCCTCATCCGCTCCTGCCCCTCCGCGAAATCCCTCATATCTCGAGCTTCTACGTTGGATCCAAGTCGAGGGTCTCGGTTTCAATGGCGGATGCGGGAGAAGAAGTCGCCATCTTCCTTTTTTCAATATCCATCATCGGCAAAAGAGGTTGAGAGAAGGATGAGGCAGCTGGGTGCGTGTAAATGCGAAATCTCTAATATCCAATCAAGAGCTTCGCAATTCTTTATTCCCGATTGAGGGTGTGATTTTTTTCGTTTTTGAAATAAGCAGCAGTTGTTGTTTGTTCCTCCTTCGTATGTAATGCTTAGTTAGTTATTTAGAAAAACAGAGCATGCCTCAACAAATGAGAGGAAAGGTAAGGGATTGTGTGTGAATTGACTTCTTCTTCGCATATAGGAAAACAGGCTTGTTCATCGCATCGCCTCCTGCAATTTCCTGGTAAATTGTGTGTAATTTTGTGTGTGTTAGCTGGTGTGATTATCGTCGCTGGTTGTTAGCAAGAGAGATTGGCAGTAATGGCGGACTGGAGCAACGACGATTTGTGGTAGTGGTAGTGATTGGGGGTGGGGTCGATAGAGATGAAGGGAAGAATTGATTTTTGTATTTTTATAAATTTTTATTTATTTTTAAATTAAAATATGACACGGAATCCATGTGGCAAGTGTTGCTGAGTTGTCAATGATGTGTCCGGTTGAGTTGGCATCAAAGTAAGCGTTCCGTTAGTTAAATTAACGGTTTTACTGCACCGTTAAAATATGTAACGGAAATGGCTATATTTGTCATGAAACTTTCAAAATTCTAACTATATTTAATATTCCGCCAAAATTAACTATTATTGTCGTAAACCGTAGAAGTTTTGACTAGACAAATGAACTTTGCCTTTTTCTTTTTAATCCAACTATACAAGGGCCCCTAATTTTCTCCCTCCATCTATTTGGGCAGGCCGGCAGAGAGACGCAGATTTCTAAAATTTGGCCTCTTGGGTGTGCAGGCCCTGCATTTCTAATGCCAAACAATGAATGAAACCAATTGCCGGAAATACACAGCATTCTCTTCACTCTACCCTTTCCAATTCTTCGATACTTCCCACCAAAATTACTTTCTTTATCCACCATTTGTCAGCCATTCTAATTCTTCCGCGTCCAGGACTGAGTCCTTTGGTTCCCGAGTCTCGTCAACTCAACTACGATAATTCTATATAACAAGATTTCAAGAGGTCTCTCAGAATCCAATTTCCCAATCATGGCGTCCCGATCATCGCAATTCGCTCTCCGTTACTTTGCCCTGATCGCGGCTTCTCTTCCTCTCCATCTACCCGCCGCCACCCCCTCCGCCGTCGATTCAATGTACTACTTCGGGAACGGCGATCCTGCCACCTCCGACGGCTTCCTCATGGTCGATTTCCTAGGTAACTTCAATTTTCGTGACTTCTTACGATTAGCCGTTCAAATAAACGAAAACCCAGTTCATACCTTGCTGACGAGTTGGGGGTAAAATTGCAGCCGCGGCATTCAATCTGCCTTCTCCGAATGCCGACTTTGGCCAGCGGCAGACGTTCGATTACGACGTGGCCGCCGCCATGGACGATGCCTTCTTCTACCGGAGCGGGTTGACGGCGGGATTTCGAATCGGAAACCGGTCTCTGCACTCGCAGTTCGTTTCTTTCAGCGACTCGCTCGATTCCCTCTGCTCATCTCCCCAAGGTAATAGCTAAATCTTCGCGCAGTTTGTGAAGTTAAGCTAATTGAGTTCGATTAGAATTTCGTGGGTACTTTTGGAGGATAAATTGGTGATTCGTTTTTGTAATTTGTATTATATGGAATGGTCTTTGTTTTGGATTTGTGCAGAATGCAAGAGCAAGCTCCGGAATTCTGTTTTCGTTTTGGACCAAATTGGGAGTTCTGATTATCAGTACTCCTTCCTCAATGGCAAATCTCTCAAGGAGAGCTATGGATTGGTGGACTCAGTAGTCTTCACCACCCAATACATTGTTCAGGTACATAAAAATGAACTGAATTCGACTACTTATATGACTTACCAATCAAACTGTCTTACTAAACTAGACAACTGTGTGAAACACAAATCAGTTTAGTAGTTCTTGTGGACTGAATTTGAGTGTGCTCGTATCTCAAACACTATTGTTAAAGTTGGATCTTTCATGAATCGAGTTGGAGTTTTTGTAACTCTCGTCTCTCTGCCCATCTGCATTGGTATAAGATGATTCTTCTCTAGTAACTGTGTTATTTTCGTTGTTTTCCCCTCTCTGCAGAAACTGATAGAAATGGGAGCAACCAAAGTGCTAGTAACGGGAACACTCCCAATGGGCTGCCTTCCAGGCTACCTAACCATCCTTGGTAACCCCAGAAGAAACGATTACTTATCGTACGATCGCCATGGCTGCCTGGCATCAATGAACACCTTCTCAAGAGTCCACAACGACCATCTGCAATCAGCACTGTCAAAGCTCAGAAGCCTTCACCCTGATGTCGAGATCGCCTTTGGAGACACTTACAAGGCGTTCACGGCCGTGCTAAGGAACCACGTCCTGCTGGGATTCAAGAAGGACGAGATGTTCAAGGCATGCTGTGGAAGCAGCAGAGCTGGAGGTAGAGGAGTGGAGTTCAATTTTGATCCTGCAAAGGTTTGCGGGAAACAAGGGCTTCGGGTTTGTGAAGACCCGTCGACCCGGTTGAGCTGGGACGGGTTTCATTTGACCCAAGAGGCTATGAAGCTTGTTGTGGATGGGCTGTTCGTTGGGGAAAGGAGAAGTGGGCTTTTGCTGGGATAGCTCGTTGGGTTGTTTTGATTCTTTTTCAGGCTTAAGCCTGTTAAGTGGGTTCTTTTACTTTGTAGCTTCCTTTGTGTGGCCGAGCATCGAGGCCCAACTGGTTGCATCAATTGGTTTAAGTAGTGATTGCCAATTTTTGACATGGCTCGTGCGATTTATTTTTCACCTCAATGAAACCTTTATTGTTCGTAAATTATATTTTCACCTCAATGAAAATTTGATTATATAAGAAGCAATATTTCAATGATAGTTTAAGGTGTAATTCTGCATATGTCCAGGCGCTGCTTAGGCGCTAGACAATAACAAAATACTTCACCTAGCCTCTAAAACAAACAATTAAGAGTTCATAGTATCTAGGCGCCATTTGGTCAAAGCTAAACACGATAATCGTGCGAAGTGTGATTAATTGAAGTGACACACGCTTAATTATGTTTTTTTACAAAAGATAATCATATATATTGATTAAAAGAAAGATAATTACAGCCTAGAATTCAACCAGGATAGAAAATCAAAAGATCGACTTGTAGTCGGGTACAATGAAAGGGCATTTTTAGCCACCACATAGGCTACCCTATTGTTACGTCGTCCTACAAGTCGTACACTAAGTCCATTATGAAGAGCAAAGTAATGTTGGACCTCCTCAAGAATTGCGCCCACCCCCCTACTATCCCGGGTACTTGATTGATTGATCTTGTCAATGACCACTTTAGCATCACCTTCAAAGCGAATCTCCAACAACCCTATATTCCACGAGATTTTCGCTCTTCCTTCTTCGATTGAGAATTGAATTTCTATGTTAATGAGACAAAGACTCGGAACTCATGAATGACAATGGCTTCTCCTTTCACTCCATCGCTTTCTCCCTTTGCCCTGCTTTACGTGTTGTTGACTACAGAGAAGCCACAATTTGTCAATTCTTCTCCAACTGCAGTAGACCTGACTCTCTTCCCTGTTTTTTTCACGTCGTGAACCACAGGTAAGCCCAAACCCACAACTTTTTCAATTCTTCTATAGCTCCGTTCAACCGAACCTCTGTCCTGCTCTTACAAGCGTCCACTACAGAGTAACCACAATCGACGACTGTTAAAAACTTATGATTCTAAGAAGTCATGACATATTTTGCTTGTCGTTGAAGGTGACATATGTTTTTTTATGAATAGTTAGCTAAGTTATTAATCATATAAAAATTGAACAAAGTAAAAAAGTGCTATAAAATTGTTATTTCTACTAAACCCCGTTATTTTTTCACTTAAAACTCCTAGGCGTCGCTTAGGTGTGCTAGGCGTTAGACAGGACCGTAAAGCTTTTCCAGCACCTAGTGTTTTCTTGAACTTTGCTTCCAACTAATTAGACTTAATTATTTAATCTATTATATCCTTTTTCATGTATGAAGTGTTTTCCTTCCATTTTCTCATAATAAAAAATTAAATTGTTGTTCTTTCGCATATATTATATCAGAATGATTTGATATGTCCCTCTCCATTATTGTACAGGTATTACCCGACTTGATTCATACTAAATATGAGCCGGATATGAGTATTGATGTACATGTCGCATGACTTATAGGTTGACTCCTTTTATTGGGCTGCTTTGGTGTGTCAAAAAGCTCTTCTTCGTTTTGTAATTAATGATCGAAAATGTAAGTGTATACTTCTTGTGATTGAACTTTGATTTATTGTGTTGGAGAGATTATTGACATAAATTTGAATGATCGAATATGTAATTGCATACTTCTTGTGATTGAATTTTGATTTATTTGGTTAAAACATTGTATAAAGCCCTTCATACATAATTGATAATTGCCAGGAAAAGGATGGATTAGAAACAGCAAATTACATTAATTAAAACAGGTGCCTTGGCATAAAGTATATATGTAGTAATATTGTAATAAAGGTATCGGTGGGCAGAAAAAGATAATTCCTCCTACCTGGGCGTCCTTCCAACGGAAAATATGATATTTGTACAATGATAATATAGTATACTATTTACATAAATACATATTCGTACAACAAGAAAAATGTATTCTTATAATAGATAGTGGTATGAAATCAAGCCTTCAAGAATATGATATTTATGTTATGAGAATACGATATTTTTGAAGGCTTGATGATATTTATGTTAAGAGAATATAATATTCTTGAAGGCTTGATTTCATACTACTATCTATTATAAGAATACATTTTTCTTGTTAGACAAATATGTGTTCCTGTAAATCGTATACTATATTGTCATTACACAAATATCATATTCTCCGCAAAGAGAACGTTAGGGGTGTAAGTTTGACCCTGAAAACCCACTGACCCGTCCCGCCCCTGAGGTTGGGACGGGTCAGTTTGTCTATAGGGTCAATTTAGAGACGGGTCAGCTTTTGACCCTATAAGGAACGGGACGGGTCGAGTCAATTTAGGGACAGAACGAGTCAGTTATATATCTTAACCCTTGAGAGACGGGTCTGGACAATTTTCAGCCCTAGAGATCGTCCTCCTAACAATAGGTGGGAGGACCATATCGGATCCGATCGGTGAGTGGGTGACACCACACCACCACTCTGACTCTGAGCATGGAGGGAGACTTTTCAATCGTACAAGAAAAGAGGAACGTACGTACGTGGGGTTGTGTTGTTGTTTGTGTTGCAAGCAATGGACCCCCGAAAACAGGAGGAAGGAAAACAAAATGGTCAAGAACCAATTGTCATATTTGTGTGTGCTTTATATCATATGATGTAATATATAAAAAAGAAAGTATAGACACATACTTACGCAAGATGGTGATGGATAGGAGAGGCAAAAGGGAGCTCAGGATCGCATGCCCCCAGGCAGGCAGCAACCCCTTACACCGTTGGCTAAAACGATCCAAATTTTGGTTACTAACCGCACCCAATTTATTATGGATCAAATCAAATTCAAATATATTATTTTAGAGTCATATGTATATCCAAGTATCTAGTGTGAGTCTAAATTAGTAGGTACTAAAGAAAAATGGATATCAAATTCTAATGCTTTTCTTTATTTATATTCAAAGTAATAGAAATGCGAAAACACTAACATTGATGATTAATATTGTCATTTTTGTACAATCTACTGGACTCAAATAGCCCATTTAGGTTCAACCCATATGAGTTGACCAAAATTGTACATAATCCAAACAAAAAGTCATTAAGAGTGCATATAGGTCCACTTGAGTTGGACCGAAAATCTATATGGAACATGTCAATTGGTCAAATTACTCAATGAGTAGACCAATTGTAATTCCTACTTAGTCACTTGCAGCATTTCATTTTCTATATATTCCAGATAAATTAAATTAAGTTGTTCGAAGAGATTACATAATAGAGTTCATATTTATACTTCTATATGCATTATAGGTGAAAGTCTACTTACCAAATTTGATTTTAATTGTATTTTAGATGTCGTATCTCTATGAGGCAATTTGGATCAATTGTCTCAAAATGAGCAATTGGTTCAAATAGTCTCGTGTGGCAATGCAAAATGTAGATGCAATAACTAGCCGAGACAATCAGAATTGTCTTATTTGCATAAATTGGAATTAGCAAGGGGCAAGTATTTTCAAATTATACTTTTTTCTTATGAGAAATGAGGTGATTTTGAGGCAATTGGCAAGCTGGGTATGTGATTTGGTCTTTATCCGGTTAAAATTGGGATGATTTTTTACCACTAGCCTATCACCGTAGAATGGATTGCATAGAATTTAATCGGGTCCGGGTATCAATCGGACCGGATTATACAGTCATGTTTCCAATTAAAATGAAAAATCAGAACCAAATAGCCACATCTACCTGAAATCATCCTTGTTCTCGTCCAGAAGCTTCACCGTTGGTCCTCCTGCCTTGTTTTCAATGAAAAGCATGGCCTGATAAGGCAAGGGGGAAGTTGTTATAAACCACTTGGTCCTAATAACTCAATTTGTCGGGAGATGTTCAATAATGGATCTTATACCACTCACTAGCACACCCCCTCAAACGAAAACCAGACAACTCATAAGGGCTTTCGTTTGCACATGCCTGAATACAAGAATACCATGGTACTTCACAAATGGGGGTCATGGGGATTCGAACACAAGACCTTTCGGTCACAGAATGCTCTGATACCATGTTATAAACCACTTGGTCCCAATAAATCGAGTTATTGGGAGAGGTTCGATAATAGATCTTATACCACTCACTAAGAGAAGTCACAAAAGTTTCATACTACTCTTTCCCGGAATTTGACGGTAGCGCAATCATAAGAGTTTCTGAAGTTGTATCTTGCACACAGGAGATGCACTCGCCTCGCTGAAAGCTTTCATGATTGAAAAAATTCCAGTCACAGAGGCATTGGATTTGTTGTTTTGACTATTGGGACCTCCCCCTTTCGCAGCAACATTGCCCTCAAGGTTGGTCATCTTCATGGATGAATTGACCTTTCTGCTCGTAGGTACACGCGGCTATCATTAGTAGAACGTTCTTGTTAGGACAACGATGACCGATTGTGAAACGTTCATCGCAATGGAAACAAAGTCTCTAAGCCCTACCTCGCACAACTTCTTCTGGTGACATCCTGCGAGCATAGGGATTGCGTGGCGGTCCTACTTGCTGCGATAGTGCCCCTATCTCCGGCGTAGCTTCCATGTTCGCACGCGGTGGAGGATTCCTAGGCAAGTTGCGATGCTTGGCCAACTCATCGTTTTTCACCTTTGCGAGTCGAATAGCATTTCTTACCGTTGTTGGCCGAAACATGCGGATTGTGTCGGCAATCTCTAGCTTAAGCCCTCCTACAAATGACCCCACAAGACCCTCCTTTGGCCACTCATAACAACGATTTCCCAATTTCTCGAACGTCAATAAATAATCATTTAGGGATCCTGTCTGCTTGACCTTTGCCAGAGCTTCATGACCGGAGGTGCTTTCTGATGGCCCATATCGTGCACACAACTCTTCACAAAAACTTGGCCAACCAAGTGATCACAATGTCGGATGACATATAAGCTCGATCCAGCCATTGCCACCACTGATTTGCGTCTCCTTCCATTTGAAAAGACGCTAGAGGGACCTAATACTCTTCATGAGTACCTTGAAACCAGAAGAATTGCTCCACACGAACGAACCAACCAGAGGGATCTTCGGCTCCATTGATTTTTGGGAATTCTAATTGAGCTTGTTTAGGCCAAAAATATCCGGGACGTTCATCATAACGTTTCGACCATCCTCCACCTTGACACCATTCACCGTCGGTCGGACTTGGTGGTCCGCTCCCCTGCCCAGCTGGCTCGTGACCCATTCGCCATTAGGCACGCCTCCGCCCATAGGGTTTGATGTCCCTCCTCCATGCGGAGGCCTATTTCACGCTCCTCCTTGGCGGTCAGCTTCTCCCGAACCTGAGGGTATCCCCGGCCCAAGCCCTGTCCCAGGCGCGACCCATCTGCTCGGCCCGTCGGCCCACCTTCCTGGTCCAGCAGCCGACTCTGCCTCCCTGCCCAAATCGTGGTGGCCTACACCCGGACCTCCCAGCCGCGAAGCTGCGATCTTTGCCTCGGTTCGAGCATGGAGTTCCTTCGCCTGAGTTTAGATGTCAGCGACGGCATTAGCCACCCCATCGATTTTGTGGTCAAGCCTTCGATCCACTCCTTTCAGATGTTCGGCGAACTGGTTGACCCATCCCTCTAGGGTTTCCAAACGTCCCTCCATGGCATGGACGCGAACCAGAGGGTCAGTTTCCGTCTCATCGACGTTGTTGGCTCGGGTTTTACTCATTGTTTACTATGATGGTCGAACCCCTAAGGCGTGGGATGATGATGCTAGTAACCTGGATTCTGGACGGTATGAAATCGAGATCTGATACCAATTATTACGTGGATTTCCCGGATTAGAACTTCCACGCAACGTGTCTCCCACGAATCGAACAAAGGAACTCAAGAATTGCTTTAGAACGAAGAGAATTAGACTTAGAACGAAGAGAAATAAAGGATCGAAGAACTAAACTACTAAGCTACTTGTGTTCCAATCTTCTCATGACATTAAACGAAAGACCAAGTACATATTTAAAGGCATAGAAGCCTCTACCTTATCCTATCTAGAACATGACTCCTACTCCTATAAGGAAATTACTAACAATAACCAAATCCTACTTAAACAAGGAAAACACAAATAAAGACAATTAATAGTAAAATACCAAATAATAAAATAACCAAGCCCAGATCGAGGCCCAATAGTTACGATGGCTTGATTCTCGTAACACTTAAGCTCATGCTTTAATTCAGGTTAGGATTTGTGGGATAAGTGGATTCCAGAAGCACAAGGTTTCAAAGTTGAGTCACCAGTGTCTAGTTTGAATTGGAATGTGAAGGTGGAATATGTGATAGATACTGAAACTGGAAGCTGGAAGAACAACCTTCTGCAGAGCTGCTTCCAACTACAGGACATAAAACATATGCAACAAATACCAATTCTTAACCATCCTAGACCGGATAATTAGATATGGGGAATGGAAAAATCAGGAAAGTACACAGTCCGCTCAGCCTACTACCACAATATGGAAGCTACCACCTAAAGTTTGAGTTTTTATCTGGCATTGGGGAATTAACAATCTCCCTACTGGAGAAAACCTAATGAAAAGGATCCAGGATGCAGATGATAGTTGTCTCTTTTGTGGACTAACAGAAACTCAAGAACACATAACCCGAGATTGTGATTGGGTGTGCAGAGTTTGGAGACCCAGCTCTATTAGCAAAATTTTCAGTTGGAGAGAAGGTAAGTCTTGTTAGGAATGAATCTGTGAAGCTATAGAAAAGGCAAAGGAATAGGAATTGTGTGGTTTTTTAATGGCCCTCTGGTTCTTGTGGAAAGAGCAAAACAACAATTTCTTCAAAAATCACAAACTCGAGGAGTGGGAAATCATAGCTAGATCGAAGAACTTCCTAGAATCATTTTGGGTTGTCCAAGCAAAATGTGACTTGATTCAAGGGAAAAAACAAATCTATAAATGAGAAAAGCCGAGAGAAGGTACCTTTAAGGTTAATGTCGATGCTACAATTCTTGCCGACGGAGGAACGGGATTTGGAATGATCACCAGAGATGGGTATCCCGAACTCGAACCTCCTGGACACCAGAAATCGTAGAAGCTCAAGCCATGCTTTGGGAAATGAGGCTAGCCCTCAATCATGGATTTCACCCAATTTTGATGGAGTCTGATTTTAAAACTTTGATCGACAAATTGCTGAGAAATGAGGAATCGGAAATGGAGATAGACACTGTATGCAAGGATATCAGATGGCTCGCTGTGGAAAGAAGGAAAGTGATGTGGCGCTTCTAGGGGAGACAAGGAAACGAGTGTGCACGCCAACTGGCTCGCGTACAGTGTCGTCTAGAGGAAACAGAGGTGTGGTTTGGATAACCACCTATTTTTCTTTTTCCACAGTTAAAAATGGATTGTAAGGACATTATTTCAGCATAAATGAGATGAGTTATAACAAAAACTGTGGCATGTTATGGAGTGGTTATTGACCATAAGATTATGCACCGGATCCGCTCACATACTTATGTACGGCCCATATCTAACTCCCTAGATCTAAGGGTTAATTTGAATAGGAAGTCGACGAAGAAAAAGACAGTGCATTTTATTATTATTATTATTATTATTATTATTATTATTATTATTTCTATATGTTAAGGGAGTGGATACTGTAAAACTCCAGCCTGAAAAATCCTGCAAATATCGGTTGTATCATCGCATCACGACATCGTGATACGATGATACGAAGTATAATCGTGATATATTAATGTATCACACAAATTGTGGTTCATCGTAATACTATGATACGCAGTATAATCGTATCATATCACCGTATCACTCAAATTGTGATATGATGATATGGTCAGAATTTTGCAGGGTTTTGCAGACAAGAGGTTTGCTAACGGTACCCAGGACCTATTTTAATTATGGTTAGAGTAGTATATTTATTCCTTGTCCAATGAATATGTGTACAGTTTTATAAATATTTCTAACCATAGATATATAGATGGTCGACTGACAAAATGTACATACTAAGGATTGAACTATCGTACCGGAAAAGTTAGTGATAGGATATTTTATGCTTTAACCGTGATTCAACTGTTTAATACCTCTAAATATTGCCTACCGATTTCACTTTCGGTAGCAAATTTTTCTGATCGAACCGCTGATACGGTGCAATTTTTCAATTCTTGGTACATACTATGCATTCAACTTTAAAATCAGTATTCGATAATAAATTTTTGAATTTTAATTGATAGCATTAGTTTAATGATGAGATCACAACTAATCCATACATTACCCTAAATTCTAAATATTAAGTTCTCAACTCTAAGCCCGGAACCCTAAATTCTTCAAATCAAAGTAAACCTCAATTTTTTTTTAATGAATGCATATTCTTATCTAACATATCACATGTAGATAGTATTTTGACATGAAACATTTCATTTGTTGAGGATGATGATTATGAGACGGTTGCATGACATAAATAATAAAATACACCAATAAAAATATGATATTTAATGTACTTGGCTAATAATAATTAACAACCATCGTCAATCATTTATAGCTTTCAAAACAACCAACGGCAACAAATTAACTACACTTCAGCTTCCATCCTAAAGCCATTTGATTAATTAGATACACTCGGAACGGGATATTATAAATTAACCAAATATTCATACATTTCACTTCCCTTTCTTAAGACCAATATTAGGTACACTGGACCCTTTTTTTGTTTTCACTATCAAGCAAACTTAACTATAGAATAATAACATATAATATATAGATTCTCGGTTCATGTTGATACGTTAATATTACCTTACGCGTCGTGAGTTTTATTATTTAAACCATAAATAATTGAAATTTGGAGCATTATACTATACTCTAACTTTTACATGTGAATCCCAGTTTCTAATTCCGTAAACCAGATCATTAGATCCATTTAACCAAATAATAATCTATAATTCTGAATTGTCGAACTATATCGCAGTCCATCACATAAATGTGAACGCACACGTATGCTAAACCAACATATTCAAAAGTGTACAAATAACACGTGTCACGGAATAATCAAGCAAAGAAAAAAAATATTATAGTCAAAACTGAACCAAGTAAACCTCAGTATGATAAACTTAGTCGCTATTAATGTGTTCAAGCACTAAGAGTATAGAAGCTCAACTCGAGGGAAATCGTGGAACCATCTTACATTAGTTAGTTCATTTAAATGTACATGTTTTTTTCTATGAAGGTGATGAACTATATTAAGAAGAGCAAAACAAAAGTCCAAAGCTTCACGAGGACATTTAAATGTACATGTTATACTACCATATAGAATATCAGCTGGCTGGCCCAGCCGTGATGGTCATAGATGTGATCGTGCAAACTTGATTGATGGTCAGCGATTAGCCAACCATAACAAATTGGTTGTGTACTCAACGATCGAGCGTCGTCAATATATATATGTAACGTCTGATCACAAGTGATGTTATGGGCATAATGTATAAGGAGAGAGTGATGGATGGAAGAAAGCAAGTTGGTGCTGCGTGACAAGCGACAGTTGCATAAATCGCAAAAGAGGAAGCAAACTTGTAGAGAGGGGCAGTTCAGTTTGCGGTGGTGGGAGAGGGGAAAGCTCACACGAGTCTTGTTGTTTGATTCAAAGAAAGCTATGTAGCTTACGTAGTGAGATGGGATTGGGACTCTTCCTTTTTTAGGGTTTCAGTTCCAAATATAAGCTGCAACTTGTGGCTGTCACAGTGCCTGCGGGTTTTGAATATATGTATCAATACTAATTTGTTTCCTGGCCGCAATTTTTTTTGTGCTGAATCATCTATCGTGCCCCCGGTAACGTCTAGGATATATATAATGTATAGGTTAACAGACAAGGCCGAGTAATAACCTTGTGAAAGAGGTTGGAATAACCTAACCTTGCTCGATATTCGTTGGGAGAAGAAGGTGATAATCCGACCAATTCAGCTCTTCGGGTTGTTTGGGCACCAAAAGGTTTAGTGAAGGAAATGAGCTAAGACAACTGACAAGTAACATGCACCGTGCTAAATGAAGTTGTTTTGTTGGAATCTTAGGAGGTTTAATGAGTCAATTTGATCAATTGTCTCGTTTTATAAACGAGGCAATTAAAACGAGTCAATTCGAATTACCTGCCCCCACCCCAGGTAATTGAAATTGACTCAAAACAGGTCAATTCAAAATACCTCAGGCAGATTGATCCATCCAAATTTTTTGCTGGCAAACGAGGCAATTTGGTACAATTGTCTCAAAACGAAACAATTGTGTCAAATTGATCCGTTACAATTCCTCATCCAAACGACTCCTATTTTGGACAATTAAATAAACATAGTATAGATATGGTTGCTATTTTGGAGACTCAATTAATAGCAATTAATGCTCCTGAAATTCTTAGGAAACATTTTGTCAATGATTAGGCTTAAATCTTCATTTGGGAGAGTGTGGTTGCTTTGGAAGTCTAGGTTGCAAGCTATGTAGTCAAAATCCTGATTTTAATTTTAAAATCTTACGATTTCGGAGACTCAATTTAATCCCGATTCTCTTGCAAGATTTCGTTTATTTCTGAAACCTTCAGCACCACCATCCCCGTCCTTTTATCAATCAAGAAGGAAATGCATCAATCAATGAATTACCTTTTCCAGATGATGGTTATCAAGGAAATATGTTCAATGGTAAAAGTACTTTAAGTGATCCTGGGAATAATGATATTATTGCTCAAGCAAATAGACAAGGATTTTATGAGGATGTGAGGGTGATGATGTGTGAGGGATGTTAATGTTGATGCTAACGATCTTATATGATTTTCTAACTAGATTAAGTAATTCTTATGAGGTTTCATGTTGTTTATTTTTGTGTTTATGTTATGCACAAGAATAAATCTATAAATTTATTTGTGTTTATGTGTAATAAACAAACCTATCTTGGGATATATTAAGTTCTATGTGGTTGACTGTTATACAGGATATGCGTTGTTATTACTATATGGAGTTTTAGGGTTCATTTAATATGAATCTTAAAATCTTACGATTCCGATTTTACTTCAGTTTTTTATTTGAAGTAAAATCTCTATTTTGACTGCATTGGTTGTAAGTGAGTAAAGTAGTAGTTGGTGAGCACTTTATTGCATCAGTATATAGTCCGAACAAACTGCATGAAAGATAAGCTTTATATGATTAACTATTTACTTCGTTAATCTCTAGTAAATTTTGTATTTTCATGTGACTTTAATGCAACCGTGGATGCATTACTAGCCTATAAAATACTGATGTAGTTAACCAAAGTTCTTTATAGTTTATACTTTAGAAAATGGACTAGCCTATTACCCGGCCCGTTGGCCGGATTACTGTATGTTATCCACTTGTGGAATAGGAGAGAAAGCAAGTGAGAGTGAAGGGATTGGGATTCCACTTGATTAGGACCGACCCACTAATCCGATTCTTCCCGACCCGCCCCAACCTAAAGGGTCAGAAAGAGTCAATAAGAAAATACGAACGGAGAGGATTAGTCATACTCATATATCTTGACTCTTCAGAAGTGGGTCAAACAGGATCAAGGTTGGGTGAGGGAAATTTTTAGCGCTAAGCAGAGTTCTTGGTTGAATAACTTTACTTAGGCCTAGAAATTGGTGCTGATGCAGACTGCAGTTTTTATTATACCATCATCAATCATCATTGAATTAGTCCTGGGCATCCCTCCCTGTTGTCGGTCTGAATTCTAATGATGGCTTCGTTCCTTGCACCAGCCATATCAACGAGTTGTCATCTCGAGCATGATTTGCCTATGTACAAATGATACAATTAGAGTATGAAACTGAATTCAAAGAAAAGGAAAAGAGAATTCTATCACATGCCAATAAATACACACATAATAGTTGAAGCTAAGTGAAAGTCATTACTCGCACATCAATTCTCAAAAATTAAAGACTAAACAATGGCTAGAATGGCACTGAAACTACCAAGAATCATGGACGAAACAACTTGTCAAATTAAATAATCCTTATACTAAAACTATCTTCTAAATTGAAATAAGACATGATCACAGTTCATAGCTCTCTTCTCACTATGAATTGGTTGCAGCTCGTCCTTATCATTGCCTCCCAAGCTCAATTCAAACATAATAGAGACCGTTATGTAAGATAATCATATCCTTACTGATCATAATTCCTTTCTTCACTCCATTTTTGTCAGAGAAAAGAGTTACCCCCTCTCCTGCATTTCCCTTTCCCCCTCTCTTCTCCCTCTTCTTCACAAACCGATCCCTAAACCAGCAACAACAACACAAAAATAGCCTTCGCCTCTGCCATCTCCATCTACTGAACGCGTGGTGGCAAGACAGGACTGCAGAAGCAAAATTTTCTAAAATCAAACTAAATTTTTTGAAGGAGACTCAACCACGAAAAAAAAGTAAAGCAACAATGCTAATAGTTCAGATGGTTGGTTTTGATGTTATACATTGCTTTTGTTCTGGTCTCCAGAATATCAGCTGCAATAGAGATGTTTCCTCCAATCATCTTTAGTGCACGATTTAGAAGCAAGTCCTCATGTTTGTGTCAAACGGATTCATTCATGGGTTCTTAACTCCCCTGTTAGTGTAAAAGCAGCAGCAGCAGCAGCAAAGAAGTTTGACAACACAGCAAACACCCAGGCAAAATGATACAATGCAGTAGGTGATATGTGTCTCGAAGGTTTTGAGTTACTAAAGTTTATGTTAAAAATAAACATGAATTAAAATGGATTATTTTATTAAGCAAACATCCCCTCTAATCATACAAAGATCAGATATCCAATTCATAAACAATTAAGCCATAAAAAATCATCACATCCACCACCTTTGATTGCCTAAATTTGGTTTTTCACAAAGTTATGAACTTTTAAGGATAACGTTCATGGGTAGTCTGTTTCATAACTCTAGAGAGCACAGTAAGTAGCCACCAGCCAGTCACAGTGCGGTAGGCGAATATGATTCTCAATTCACAATTTCTCACCACCGGAAGTAAGAACAGACCATAATAAGCGTAGCGTTCATGGGTGGTCTGTTTCATAGCACCACTACACAATTTGTTAAAAAGGAAAGAAAGGTATTTAGCACCACGACGGAACAACTTTTACAGGCCAACAACGACAACATGCTGCAACCACCAGAACTGGTATCACAACTCATAGGGAAAATCAAAAGATTTACTCTCAAATTAAGCAGTTACAACATCGAGCAATTGTCAAGCACATACACCATCACAAAAGTCACGGAACCTGATTCACAAAGCATTCAAACATTTGAGGACATTTCTGCAAAGGTACAACTTATATGTCTTTTTTCCAAGCCATTTCCATCAACATGCTAATAAATTTGCAATGCATAAAACAAACGGGCCAAAACTTGAAATTCAGCCTGTTTGACCGACCCATGCCAAATTCTAATTATTCTTTACTTTTAAACTTTCTATTTGAAAATAAAAAATAGTGAAAGAAAAGAGACGACTACAATTCGCCATTTGCACATCACTTATTCGGAAATAAAACGATAGAAATTCAAAAGGAACTGAAAATGTTTAGGATCGTTATAATGTTTAAAATAACCAAATAGATCTTTATGTTTAGTTTTTTACTAACAAATACCAAACGATTCCCTATAAAATACACTATAATTTGATCATTATGATATCAAATAATTATAAACTATATATTTGAAATGATAAAAATTGGACTAATTGTGTTGGTCGAGATTGAACCATTGAATAAATTTAAAATACATTTTATTTTAGCCACTAAGATATAAAATAATAGCATAATATATATTATGCCAGGGAAATTAGCTTGTTTTAGAATGACAAACTAATGATGTTCATTTGTTTTAGTTAATGGCCAAATCCCATGTAGGTCAGACCCATTCAACTCTTTTATATTATGGTTAGCGGTTAGCCCATTAGATACCATGCATTAGTTTATTGTTAATTTTTTTATTTTTAACAATAAAATGGAGTATTATTTTTTCCTTTTCATATATATTTTATCACTACGGAGAAATAAAAGGGCTTAAAGAAAAAAAATTGACACTCCTGGACCCGTTTAAATTCACATGTGTACGGTAAGTTATCCCGTTCCACAGAGGAAAGAGAAAAAAATTGACACTCCCTATTCTACCCTTCCTACAAACGCTCATGGAGCAGGGAATTTGAAATGGGAGAAGGGTTTTTTCCTCCCTGCTATTATATGTTTTTAATTTAAAAAGATACAACAAATGTGCTTAGTGTGATTGGTTATTATCCTTGCTTTTCTTTAAGATGGTCATGATTCGAATCCCAGTACGTGTCTTTTTAATGAATAAAAAAAAAGTAATTGTGAAGACCAAAATGTCCTTCCTACTTTCACTCTCGTTGCAGGAAATTTGAAATGGAGCTCCCGTTTTCCCCTTCGGCGTATTATAAGTATAGTAGATAGATAGATAGAGATAGATAGATAGATTAGTGATATGGGTTGTTTGAAGACAAGGTGTGGCGCTCATGGTGTACTTGGCGGAATAAGCAAGATGAAAAACAAATAGCCTGTTATGCCACGAGGTGGGCAGCTCTATGAAAACTCCGAGGAGCCAAATGACACGAAACTGACACAGGGAGTGAGAAGAGGGAGAGAAACACTTCCCTCATATGGAGTCAGCGCTCGAATGAGAAGACTTCCTCTCTGAAGCATCTGTGATGGCCAATTGAGAATTTTCTCAAAATAAAATGCCAAAGCATTATGAGTAAGTCACATTTAATAGAAATCATTAATACCATGAATAATTTACCAAGAACAATTAACCTTAACTGATAGACTGATGAGGTCGATTGCACTTCCTTCATGTGTCTTAACTATAATAAGATTCTCCTGCAATGCAGACAACCCAAAAGGGATCCAAAAATGCTAGAAATATCTAATCAAAGATAATTAAGTTTACCATTAAGACTTAATCGGAATATCCCGGGGTATTTGACCACTAAGGCATGTTGATGGAATCTTGTTCTGAAGTAACTACTTTACTTTAGCCTTTTAATTATTTCAATTTATGACGTGATCATTCTCAATAAGAACAGTTACTAACCCATACTTGGGCCTTTTTATAATTCTTTTAATTAAATTATTATAACTAATTTTGTTTATTTGCAAAAAGATGTTTTCTCTTTCCGAACTTTGCGGAGCCCGGAAATCGCCAGCGACTAGGGTTTTTCGTGCGGCTGCTTGATGGCGGCGGCAAGCTCGCCAGCCCACTTGTCCCTCTCACCGGAGGAGACCAAACCACCGGACGGGTTAGGAGGAATACGTCGACTCCCGGAGAACACTTCATCCCCTGAAAAAAAGAAGGATCGTGAAACACAGCAACCGAAAAGAGGGTCAGGCCTCTCGATCTACAGGAGAAGCACAACAAAATTAACGAGGTCGTAATCGAGGACATAACTGAGGTTGAGCTGAAAAATAACACCAGTCATGATACTGTAGAGTCTATGCAGGGAGAACAGAGGAAGGCCCCTCCACAAACTAAACCTATGGCTTGGGGAGTGGAGAGGATAAAGCTTTTCAGCGAAGTGGTCAGGGAGGAAACGTGGTATGTAGGGGAGTCCGACTCGGAAGATGGGGTACACGAGATGAAAGAAGATATCCAGCCTGAGAAGACCTCCGATGAGGACCCCCTTTGTCCGACTATCTACTTCTCACCGGAGGAATGGAAGAACTATAGGCGCGAATGGAGAGCGGCATTAATGCTTAAAGTCCTGGGACGCTCCTTTCCGTACCCGATAATGGCAAAAAGGCTGAACATGCTGTGGGCAAAGAATGGGACGATCCAAATAACGAATAGACCGAATGGTTATTTCTTTGTTCGGTTCACGAGCAAGCTAGACTATGAATTAGTCCTTACAGGCGGCCCTTGGCTCATCGGGGACAATTACATCACAACTCAAAAGTGGAAGAAAGGGTTTAACCCAAGGAACTGCACAATAGACTCCACGTCCGTCTGGATTAGACTACCAGATCTACCCATTGAGTTGTACCACCCTGAGGCAGTCCTGCGCATTGCAAAGAAAGCCGGTACACCAATTCGGGTGGATAGAGCCACCGAGCTAGGGGCACGAGGTGTTTTTGCTCACGCATGTATTGAAGTCGATCTCACCAGGCCGTTACTCTCATAATATAAGGTGGAAGATGTTGAGTATGAAATTAAGTATGAAGGACTAGAGAACATTTGCTTCGAGTGTGGATCATATGGGCACGCTCGCATACGATGTCCCACGGTTCGCACTGAGGAAAACCCGAGTAATGAAACAGACGACCCCGATTTGAAGGGATCTCAGAGGCACCCACAGCTTTATGGGGAGTAGATGATTGCTAAGCGGAGAGAGCGCCGACCCATTAAGAGAATGGATCAAGCAAAGATGGGAGACCAGGGATAGCGGAATTCCAACGCCAATCAAGCTCACTCTGGCTCACGTTTCTCGGTCCTTAACCAGGAAGAAGAAGCAACTGCATCTTCGGGACACCAGGTAGCCCCAACCGAATGCAGAAAGGAGAATGCTCATGAGGCCCGACCCCAGCAGAAGACGCATCACGCGGCCACCGCTCTGAAACCCACCATGTATGGGTAGAGAAATAATCGTCACGAGATGCTGCGAAAGACAAGAAAGTAGCTAATGATATTGAGAGTACCAAGAAGCCTGGCTTGGAGACAACTCAAGTTGCTACGGGCAGTAAGACAATTTCGACATCTGTGAATCCAAAAATTTCGGCAGAACCTATCGCACAAGTGTTTGAACATACAACAGTATCGAAGCCAAACATGTCTATCGACCAGACAGAGCGGGGGGTGGAAATTAATGCGGTCGCAGGGGTCACGCTTATGGCCATGCAAACCATGCAAAACCTGCCGTCGTCAAAGGGAACTACCGAGATGTGCATGGACTCAGGAGACAAGATGGTAGATGGTGACTTGGAGAGCATCCCCATGGGGGTGCATCCGACCCCCTCTTAACGTAACCAGTGGAACCCTACCCTTCCCAAGAGCCCGATGGATTTGAAAATATTCACGTGGAATTGAGGGGTGCCGGAAGCGATCGCTTCCTACGAGTCTTCAAAGAGTACAAGAGGAAACATAAACCGCATATGGTGGTTATAGTCGAACCTAGAATCAGTGGAGATAAAGCAACTCGAGTGCTAAATCAAATGGATTTGGGTAAATCTCTGGTGATCGAAGCAGAGAGATTCTCGGGCGGAATATGGCTGCTTTGGGACGAATCTGTGGTGCAAGTTATAGCAAAGGGCATAACAAGTCAGATGCTCCATGTACAAGTGCAAATGGGTTTGGTTCAATTCCTGTTTACGGCAGTGTATGGGCACCCAACATTGATCCAGCGTAGATCGTTGTGGGAGTCTCTACGGTGGACGGTGGACGGTGGAGGAGGTTGACATGGCGTGGCTGTTAGCGGGGGACTTCAACTCAATGTTAAGCTCTTCTATAAAATTTGGCGGCGCGCCATTCGATGCTGGTAGAGTGCGAGAGTTTCAGGATTGCCTTTTGGATACCGGGTTAGTGGATCTGGGTTTTGTTGGACCCCCTTCACATGGTTCAGAGGAGGGACCAAGGAAAGGCTTGATCGCGGTCTAGTGAATATCAGTTGGACTACCCAGTTCCCGTAAACTACAGTCAGACATTTGCTGAGAGTGAAATTTGATCACCGCCCGCTACTGATCTGGATAAGCCCAGAGTTTGCAGCTCCAGGACCTCGGCCTTTTAAATTCCTAGCCTCATGGCTGACACACAAAGAATTCCCTGAGATGTTGAAAAGGCTTGGGAGAAGGTAAGCGACCTGAAAAGCAGCTCTGAATCCTTTGCGAGGGATGCGTCACACTGGAATAAACATACATTTGGTCATATCTTGAGAAGGAAGGATAACCTACTGTGGCGAATAGAGAGATTAGAGGAGTAGTGGGGTGGGGACTCGAATCAGGGTCTACTGCCTGAGCTCAGATTGGAACTAGAAAAAGTCCTTGAACAAGAGGAAATTATGTGGAAACAGAAGTCGCGAACGGATTGGGTGCACTGGGGAGATCTTAATACAAATTTCTTCCATACCCGCACGATTCAAAGAAGAAAGAGGAACAGAATCCTGGCACTAAAGAATGATCAAGGCTTATGGGTGGAAGACCAAATTGAGCTGAGTCAGATGGCAAGACAGTACTATATTAGTTGTTCACATATGAAGTCTCACAAGATGTGCACCTGGTTAATGGATTCCCAGACTAGGAGTTGCCGCACTGGGATACCCTGGATAAGTGAGTTTGTAGTGGAGGAGCTAAAGGAGGCAGTCTCAGCAATGGGGGCACTTAAAGCTCCGGGGCGGGATGGTCTAGACCCGCTGTTTTTTCAGCGGTTTTGGGAAGTGGTTGCTCCGGCGACTCTTGAATTTGCGAGGAGCTGCTGGGTTGAACCGCATAAGATAGGGGAATTAAACGAAACCATCCTCGTTCTTATTCCCAAGGTCGATAGGCCTGTTCGGATTGACCAGTTCCGGCCTATAAGCCTATGTAAGGTCGGTTACAAGATCATTACGAAGTGCTAAGCGTAAAGACTGAAGCCTTTTATGCCAAGCCTGGTACATGAAACTCAAACGAGTTTTCTACCGGGACGCCACATTACTGAGAATATATGCATTTTGCAGGAAGTTGTCCATTCCATGAGAGCAAAGACTTGACGAACTGGGTGGATGGTGATTAAGGTGGATCTGGCCAAAGCCTATGATCGCATCAGATGGATCTTCGTGCGCGATACACTGATGGCTGCAGGGGTCCCGGAGAAATTCGCAGAGCTTACCATGCAGTGTATCTCACGGCGAGGATGTGCATTCAATGGAATGGTGGACTGACGGAGGAGTTTACTACATCTCGGGGGTTGCGACAGGGATGCCCCATTTCCCCGTACATCTTTACGCTCTGTATGGAGAGGTTGGGTCACCTGATCCAAGCTGCAGTGAGTGAAGAAAGTTGGAGACCGATCAAGCTGTCAAACTCAGGTCCGGAGCTGTCACATCTTTTTTTTGCTGATGATCTCATTCTGTTTGGTGTAGCTACCCCTGAGCAGGTCCAAGTCATTAACCAGATTTTCGAAGTGTTTGGGAGCGCATCCGGCCAGCAAATAAGTAAACCTAAATCCAGGGTCTACTTCTCAAAGAACGTTATGGCGGGTGCTAGGGATTCCCTCGCCAATAGCATGGGCATACCTCAAACGGCAAATCTAGGACGTTATTTGGGAGTCCCGGTCATCCATGATAGAGTGTCGAAGACAATGTTCCAGGAGTTGATTGATAAGATCGACGCTAGGCTGTCAGGTTGGAGTGTCTCGACCCTTTCCTTAGCAGGGCGCATCACTCTAGTTCAATCAGTTCTAGCCGCACTACCATCTTACACGATGCAGACATCCCTCCTTCCAGATAGTGTTCGAGAGTATATTGATAAAAAAAATTTGAGCCTTCATATGGGGTAGCTCAGAGGCGGGAAGGAAGATTCACCTGCTAGATTGGCAAACTCTATGTCGGCCGAAAGATGAAGGAGGGCTTGGGATGCGGAATGCAACAACTGTTAATGAAGCATTATTGTTGAAAATGGCGTGGAGGCTCATCAAGGAGCCTAATAGCCTATGGGCGAGGGTGATCAGAAACAAATACCTCCGTAGAGTGGGTGACTCTCACGCCAAGGACGATGGGGCGACTCTCAAACTTGTGGAGGGGTATCCTGCGAGTTGGTCATCGTGTCCATGAGGCAACTATGTGGAGTGTGGGAAACGGTTCAATGACAAAGTTTTGGACTGATCGTTGGCTCAACGGCGGTCCTATGCTTGCGGAGCAAGCAACGGGGCTTCCCCAAGAGGCGCTATCCACAACGATGGCTGAAATGGTGTTGAATGGGGATTGGAACCTGGAATGCCTGCGTGCCTTCCTGCCAGAGAGTGTCATTGAACAAATCTAGCTGCATGGGGTACCACAGGAAATGAGAGACAACGAGCCCACTTGGCGCTTTACGGCGAACAGAGCTTTCACACTGAAGACAACTTACGAACTCTTGGACAAGAACAGCTTGCCCACGAATTTCCATCCACTATGGTGGACAATTTGGAAAGTACCCACCATGCAGAGAGTGTGAGCCTTCCTTTGGGTAGCAATCCATGGGAGGCTTCTGACTAATGCCGAGAGAAGACGCCGCTACCTGACAAATGTATATCATTGCCCTGTTTGTGGTGGGGAAGGCGAAACTTGGATCCACGCAATCAGGGACTGTCCCTTTGCTAGGAAGTTTGGTCAGAATTCCTAGGGGGCGAGCATGATGAAACCTTTTTTCAAGCCGATTTGAAGAGTTGGCTTTTGTTTTACTTGAAAGGCAGAAGCGAGGTGGTAGATGCATCTCTCTTTTCGGTAGTTTGCTGGCTTATATGGAAGAACCGTAACGCCAAAGTCTTTGAAAACAATTTAACAGCAGCATCTCAGCTTCAGGCTACAGCTCGACGACTACGAGACCAAATTGGCGAGGCACTGCTGGGAGATAAAGTGAAGTTAGATGGGTCGCGATCAGGAGAGTGGAAGATGATCGGCTGGAATGTGCCTCCGCCAGGTTGGTGTAGCGTGAATACAGATGGCTTGATACTGTTGGCCAGCCAAAGCTCGGCGGCAGGTGGCGTGGTTCGGGATGACCAGGGTCGATTTCTGAGCGGGTTCACAATGAATTTGGGAGGAGGCTCTATTACTAGAGCGGAACTGATGGGGATGTTTCAGGGGCTGCAGTGTGCGTGGGAGTTGGGAGCGAAGAAGGTTGTCCTTCAGACGGACTCCCAGGCGGCGATGGAGCTAGTTGCTTCGGCCAATTCCACACACCCTCACTACCGGTTGGTGCTGCAGGTTCGGCGGATGCTAGAACGTGCCTGGGAAGTTCGAATTGAGCATATATACCGTGAGGGAAATGCAGTGGCGGACTTCTTGGCGTCAACGGGGCACTCATCGCCTATGGGTTTGCATCCAATTTCTACCCCATTTCCTCAGCTAAGTTACTGGCTTCTTTTTGATCTTGTAGGGAGTCAAACTCTTAGATTCGTTGTTGCTTAGTTTGGGCGCCTTGTGCCCTGTTTCTACAAAAAAAAAAATTGTTTATTTGCTTGGGCTTTCACAGTTTGATAATGGGAGATGCCTAGTTGGTTGGAAGACCAAATTGGGGGCTTTTACGAGCTGTTGTCAGATCTGCAAGGAATTGTTTCTCTGTTTCAATTTCAGCGTGGTTAATTCATGATTTTGGTACTTTTAACTTTTAAGGGAAGAAATCATGATATTGCCCATGTCCTTAAGGTATCAAGGACTGCCCATATCGTGGCAAAAGTCCTCTTGTCATTGGATCTTTCGACGCTTCTTCCTTATTTATGTTTTGTAATTTGACCTGCAAAAGTCTTGTACTTATATTTCATATCTTGTTGTTTCCCATCTTGTGTGATACCTTTTCGCAAAAAAAAAAGGCTTGGGAGAAAGAGGTGGTAGGCTCCTCTTATCAAATATTTTAATACAAAAATGTACAAGTTCAAGTTGTACCATAAAAGAATTTATACAAAAAGTATAGGTACAATCTGAAGTTGTACCATAACGTTAAATGTACAATTTCAAGTTGTACCATAAAGGCAAAAATCTATAGCACCAATGCTATATAGCATTGTAAAATTCCTCATAAATCAAGGGTTCAATATGCAGCTAAAAGGAACTCCAACATGAAGTTTTTTCATGCTTTAGTGCTGGCCAGACCCCACAAGCAACAAATTTATAAGCTGGTTGCAGAGAATGGAAAACAGGTTACAGAAGTCCAAAAAATGAGTGAATGGCAGCTTCTTTTTTACAAAGAGCTGCTAGGAAATCATGGCCCTATTGTTCAATACTATCCTTCAAGTTATTCTGAGCAGCCGTTACACCTCAAGTTAGATGATATGGATCAAGAACTGCTCTACTCCCCATGTCAGTAGAGCAAAAATCCATAAAACAAATTTTAGAGTATTAGTAAGAATAAAGCTCCTTGCCCATATAGCTTCCCAACAGAGTTCTATAAGACTGGCTGGAATGTTACAGGAACATATGTGGAGAACATTGTACAAGAATTCTTTCACACAAGAAGAATGTCTCCACAGGTAAATTCACCTATTCTCTCCCTTATGCCCAAAATTCCAAATGTTGATAGAATGAGAGACTTTCGTCCCATCTCATGTTGCAATGTGTTGTATAAGGGCACCTCCAAACTGTTGTCAAATAGATTGTCTAGTGTCTTGCATATAGTGATAGGGAAATCTCAGAGCTTCTCAATCGATACAAAGTAGTGAATCGACCCTCGACTAAAGTAATCGATCCAATACTATCAATCTATGGTGCTCTATTGACCTAATCAGGTATTCACTCTCATTGGATCAAAGCAGAATTAATAAACTCTACTAAAGCAGAATTGAATCATGAAAACATGCATAGATTGAATATGAACTCAATATTATCAAATAGGAGCACTGATACAATCATCCAGTCAAACAAACATAACTAGGGTTCCTCATAAGCTAAGTGAAGGGAAGTTTCTCCATAGAGAAGAGAGAGAATGCAGAAATCTGATCTAGATCTTCAATCTCCATCTCCCAAGGTGCTCTCTCTCTCTCTCTCTCTAGGGTTCGTCCCTTGGGTGTTTGGGATCCAAAATCCAGCTCTCCCTCTCTAAAAATCGCAAAATAGCCTTTATACCAGATGAAATTCGTACCCCCGACTTGCACGGCCGTGCAAATTAAGGTTTTGGTCGTGCAAACTCCTTGGAAAATGCGCACGGTCATGCACATTTTCCAACATGCACTTCTAAACTCCAATTCGTTTGAACTCG